TGGATTTCCTACGCACAGGGATGCACCGGTCCTGAGCACAGAGGAAGAGCTGTTTAAACAGAAGCCAGCTCTCCTGGACTCCCCTACCTTTGAGAGCCATAGCCCATGGAATTCTTCCAAGTAGGTCCCTGAGGAGGCCAAAGTTTGCTCTCCTAAAGTCCAGTGTGGTAGTCCTACTTGTTGTTCTGCTTCCCCCTCTCAGAATCCGGAACTCCACCATCTCGTGGTCACTGCAGCCAAGCCTGCCCCCTACCTTCACATCCTCAACCAATTCTTCTTTATTTGCCAGCACAAGATCCAGTAGCACTCCATTTCTTGTTGGCTCCTCCACCACCTGGGTCAGAAAGTTATCATCGATGTTCTTCAGGAACCTCCTGGACTGTGCGCACCTTGCCGTGTGGTCCTTCCAGTTGATATCCGGATAGTTGAAGTCTCCCATGAGAACCAGGGCCTGTGATTGTGAGGCTACATTAAGCTGTCTATAGAAGGCCTCATCTACTTCCTCGTCCTGGTTGGGTGGCCTATAGTAAACACCTACCACAGTGTCACCCATGGTGGCCTGCCCCTGCTGTCTTGGTCCTCAGATCTCACTGGTTCCTGGATAAATACATGCTCCTGTTCACATAGTCTCAAACACATTTTTTGGCATGCTTTGCTTATTCAGTATAAAGATTTAAACATTGTATTTTACCTCTAATCATAATGGTATAGGTGGTCATTAGAATTGGTATTCCCATCTAGGAAACTGTCTAAAGACTATTCCTATATCTACATGCCAAACTTGAATATATATTCACATATATACATGCATGTGTCTGAATGTATAAGAATGTATATGAATATGTGTGATATCTAATTTTTTTTCAGGGTACCTGTCACAGTAGAGAAGAGGTAACTGCCATCAAGTTGCTTTAGAGATAATGACTGCCTGAGTACACTTAGAAAAATCTATAGTACAAAGACATTGTTTCTTTAAAAGTTTGTATTCTTAATAAAAGCTATGCAATGTTAAATTACAAGGTCAGCTGAAAGCTCCAAAAGGGGTTTATCTTCACTGTTTTGATCACTGTAAGTTTAGAATTCAGAATTAAGCTAGTGTGGTTTGTACAGGTTTAATTAACTACAAGGCAAGGTTACCGTAAAGGTTAATTAAGATCTACCTCCTGTGACTGTAAGGAAAGACTTTATGGTAAGTACTTCAAGAGGTATTGTTTCCTATAAGAGCAATCAAGCATTTTATATTTAGTGGTTTGACATAAAAAAAAGAAAATAAAATGAGCTTTTTCTGATTTACTTGAAAGCCTGATAATCATAAATATTACTTTGTCTTTTACCAGCAACATAAGAAAGACAAAACCAGATTATTTGTAGTGTTTTAACTGGAACTTTCTATATCTGTCGCAAGGCAATTGCCCTATGTCAGCTAGGTAATGGCTGATCCTTTGAATGATTTTTATAGTGATTAAAGTGGGCTGGTGAGACAAGACCAAAATAGATTCCTTGGCACTCCACCAGCAGGCAACAAGAGTGTATGTCAAATATACAGCTTTTCATCTTTGAGCAAATTCATCCTCAAAGGTGACTTCTTTCACAAAGAAAATAATAATTAATCAGATAATTATATTGCTGGATAACCTTCTGAATTGGCAGGAAAATTGCAGTTTATTTAAAAATTACAGAACTTATAAAAATGGTAGAAAAGAAATAGTCAAAAGTACTTGCAGCACGTATTATCAACTTCATATAACAGCTAAACTCTGAGTCACTTGCAAGCATTCATTACGATAATCAGCACAATATTAACTTCTGTAATGTTTATTTTTATTTTTTTTTATGATAGCCATTCTGTGGAAAGCTGATGGTGCAAGATAAGGTGCTGATGATATAGTACTTCAAAGTTTGATTTCTGTTTTGAAAACACCTTAAAATACTGCATCAGGGCATGGATCCATGTCATATTGCTTAACACTTGTACAGTATATAGTTTCATAGCTAAATTGTCTAGATTCTCTTTAGAATCCATACCACAAAGTTAGTACTTGGACAGTGGGATTAATTTGCTTTATTATAGAAATCTAATTTAGGATGAGATGACTTGTGCCATAGTATTGTCTAATTATTCAGAGTAAAATTAAAGAGACCTCTACATTTGATCAGATAAGTCCTACTTGCATGTTCCCATTTATCTTGTGTTCTAATTATTTGTAAGTTTTGACAAGCATGATTAGAGTTGAAAAGCTAGTATTTTTCTACACAAGTAAACTCTCACACAGGGAAACTGGGGCTCCATCTGGTTCAATTTATAAAGTTCCATTACACTTTGTCAAGAGTATAAGAGGAACTGTGGGTAGGGCAATGCAGAAATAAAGCGTGTTTGCGGATAAGCCAGTCCTTCATCATTAAACATAGATTTTGATCCCCGTGTCACTTCCAATTTACCTTAATTCTTTAGACAATGTACTACTTATTCTGCTTCCGTTCAATAATTCTTCCTCCCTTTTGTGTTTTTACTGTATTTTTTATTCAGAAACCCTTTCACATTGTCAGCCTGATGAAATTTTCGAGTGCGGTCTTTCCTGCTTCAGAACAAGAATGTAAGACATCAATGTGAAAGACTGTGGGACTGAGGTAAAAACAAACACTTATAAAGCTGCCTCTTCTCTTCCTAATCATTCACATAGCCTGGATTTTGACTTTCTAGACCTTTGAGAAGTTCACCCAGACTAACCGTATGGCCAAAGTGAAGAAATTGAGAAGAACGTGGGTGGGAATCAGCTGGACTGCTAGGATCAAAATTTTTTTGATCAATGGTTCAAAATCCAACTAATTGCCAGTTGCCTGTAGTATTCATTAAGGATGCATAGCGGGGCAGATACAGGGTTTTTTTGTTGTTTTTTTTTTTTTTTTTAGTGACTTGGCTGATGGGATACAGTGCACTGTCAGAAAATTGATGCATAATACTAAATTGGGAGGAATCATGAAGAAACTGGAAGACCCATTAAGAGGGTCTTCAAAAGGATGGAGCAATGGCCTAACAGGAAACTCATGAACTTCCAAAAATACACATAAAAAGATCTGCGTATGGAATGTAATATCCCCGTGCAGCAGCACTGGCAACAGTCCAACTTGCTAGAAATCAGCTTTGCAGAAAAGGACCTTGGGATTCTGGTCGACAAGAATTCAACATGAATTGGCAGTATGGCCTTGCAGCAAAGAGTGTCACGGGCATCTTTGTTTGCATTAGCAGCAGTGTCCTGGTTTTCACTGGGATAGAGTTAATTTTCTTCCTAGTAGCTTCCATAGTGCTGTGTTTTGGATTTAGTATGAGAAGAATGTTGGTAGAATGTTGGTAACACACTGATGTTGCTGTTGATGCTGTTGATGATTTGTTGCTAAGTAGTATTTACACTAAGTAAAGGATTTTGCAGTTTCCCATGCTCTGCCAGGTGCAGAAGAAGCTGGGAGCGGGCACAGCCAGCACAGCTGATCCCAACTGGCCAAAGGGTTATTCCATACCGTATGATGTCATGCCCAGTATATAAACTGGTTAATTTGTTAATTTTGTTTCATTGCAATTTATTTTTTTAATTATTTTCTTTTATTTCAGTCATTAAACTGTTCTTATCTCAATGCACTAGTTTTCTTATTTTTGCCCTTCCTATTCTCTCCCCCATGAGACCAGAGGAGGGAGGGTGAGCAATTGGCTGTGTGGTGTTTGGTTGCCGACTGGGGTTAAATGATGACATATTTGATCTCAAACACCTGGTAGCTTGGGAAAATGAGACATCTTTCAGCAATGGCAGCTCACATTCAGTGTTGAAGAAGTGCCAGAGGATTCAGTATTTACATTGTTGTCTCAGTTACTTCCAGGTTTTTACGAGTGTCTCAGTTTCTTCATCCATCAAAACATCATCTTAGTAAAGGTTCTGAAGAAATACCAGCACAGGTTTTTTTTGTAGGAGTCTTCCTCTTCGATGCTCTTCTGAAAGTCATGCTGACCTGTGCCTAAACTCAAAAGAACTCCCGTTCTTTTTTTTTTGTTCCACACGCATTTCTGAAGCTCACCTTAATCTCTTCAGTAGCTGGGAACATACCACAAGCAGCTAATCTCTGTAAGAACTAGAGTTGTCCTTTATTTATAAGTTACTGAGACTGGAATGTGCTTTGCTGGTAGCCATAGAATAGCCTTTATAAAAGAATTTTTTAGGCCATTACAAAAGAACCTGCCTGATAATAGGCAACAAATATGTATTCTCCCTTCTGTACTCACGCAACACTTCCAGTAAAGCAGAGCAGCCCACCTCCAGAGTAATTTTCTCATTTTTTTTTTCTTTCATTCTCTTTCATTAATTTCAGGTTGCAAATGTGAAATACAGAAGTTTAGACTAATAACACATTTTAACTGTCAAAATATTAAACCTAAATCTTTCTTTAAGATGTGCTATGAGACCTTGTCCCACACACCAAAAAAAAAGAATTTTATGATGTATTTTTTATTAAAACACCCTTTTTTTTTTTTTTGGTTGAATGCTATAAAAAAGCAAGATTTAATCATCAGTTATAACCTTAGTGTTGCTATGTGAAGGTTTGATAGATTGAAGTTTCCCCTTACTGAAACAAATAAATTAAATAAGTTTTGTGCCCTTAAAACACAAGATGTACAATGATTCAAACGGGCAGAACTTTTAAAAAAAGATGCATGGTCATCTTAGCTGGTTATACGACTGTGTCCTCATCAATCAAGACTTAGCTGAGTTCATAAAAAGATACAAGTCCTAACAGCTGATAATTTGCAGTTTAATCATTTAGTATACCGTGATTGCTGCTGCTGTACAGCTGGAGTTCCACTGGCTTCTGTAGCACTCATGAATTAAAAACGGACTCCAAGCCAAATCGCACTATCATATTATGGTGTCTATACTATATTTCTTTAAAAGTCATGGTTCTATTGTGCTCTAAAGTCTATAGCCACCAAAAGGGAAAGGCCAAAGACATACTGTGAACAAGCGGAAGACAAAACAGTCATGGAGCATCCTTAATATCTTAAACTGTTAGTTTTACATGTAAATATGAAAATAAATGACAGGGAAATTGGTAGATTAACTGGGAAATAAAGGAATAAGAGTGGGAGTAGAAAAGAAGAGAAAAAAGATGAAGGCAGTTCTACAAAAATGAACCTCATAGTTCTCTCTCAGGCTGTACTCAATTGTGTTCTGAGAGAAAAAAAGTTAAGGTTAAGATTTAGTACTTTTCCTTAATAAGAAAAAAAAAAGAAAGTGAGCACACATAAAAGAAGATAGTGAGGAAAAGAAGAGACCCTGAGTCATCAGAGAATTTAAAATATAAAGCAGAAACGGTGGAAAGACCAGGGGAAACAGAGAGCTGTACCACATTCCTGAGGGAATACTGGCCTTATTTTGCTCTCACTGACTACTTGACTAGTGGAAAATGAAAAGGAGAAAAATGTGGGGAGCTGGGACACCAAATGTCATATGTCCTTTTCTTGCTTATATTATGGAAATAATGGCTTTTGCCTTCTGACAAAGTATGTGAGCTGCTGTCCCAGATCTTTCAAGGGGTACTTGTATTTAAATGTTGTCTCTACTCCCACATAAATATATCACCTCTTCAACATCTATGATTGGAACAAGAAGGGGAAATGCAGTATCAGTTCCATGGTTTCAAACTGATCCTACCCGTTCAATCTGCAAGACAAATGAAACAAAACTGATACCATTTTACAGCAGAAAAAAGTGGTAGGTTCATTTAGAGGGTTTAACAGTGTCTTTTTTTGTATTATGCTACTTCTACATTAGGGGTCTTTTTCTACATGAACTTCCCATGGTGAAAACTGAAATAAAAATTGGATGCCACAGAGTGGTTTTCTTTGCATCTGTCCTACTTCCTTTATTTACAAAAAGTGAATTTTTTTATTAAAGTTGTTAACTCAAAATATTTAGCTACATTTATTATCAGTGACTGTGTTCAACTTTTATGGTATTTTAATGCAGTTCTTCATACTTTCCCATTTTAATCTCAGAAGTATACCTTACCTATGAGACAGTTGGTAGCTGGTATTTTATTTGTATCAGCATACATGTTGAAACCATTGTTGTTATTATTATGGACATTAAAGGCAATATACTGTTACATGACAATACTGCTTATCCCATGGATTTTTGGATATGTTGAGGTGAACTGTGAAAAACAGTATGAAAATAATTAATTATCTAGCTATTGATCTTTTTTTTTTACTGAAAAAATATGGAAGTATCTCAAACTTTTATCATTTTGGAAGAAAGAAATCCCCGTATATCTGTAGATTGAGGAGACAGCAGAAAAATCTTATACTCCAGGATGCAGAACAGTATTCAGTGAACTACAACTCTGTGAGACATGTATTATCTGACTGCTGAGTAGTGAAATGTTTTCCTTTGGAATCTAAGAGACATAATACAATTGAATAATTCTAAGTAAACTGTAACAGACCTGTTGTTATCTTAAATTTTAAAAGGCCAAGCAGATGCTGATGTTTTTTCTTGAAAAGCTAGATTTAACACTACAGAGTGTTAAATCCGATGAAGAATGATAGTACATATCTTCTTAATTTTCCAGCCAGTTTGCCAGCCTTGCTAGTTGTTGTTGACCTACTGAATGGACCCAGAGTAAGGGAGCACAAGCAGAAGGATTTCAGGAAGCATATTTCTGGAAGTGATAATTACTGCAG